CCGCGCCGGCCGGTGGAGCCTGCCTGGAGAGGGCCACGCCAGCGGAAGGGCGGGAGGCGGCTGGACCTGCCTTACTACTGGACGCCAGGGGCCCGCCCCTTCCGGCCCATCCCACGGGAGCCCCAGCGTGGAACACGACCTTTGGGACCCTCTGGGTGGAGACTCGGCCTCTGCCTGGACTGTAGCGATCAGCACCGCGCTAGCTCAGAGGCCGCCTCGGTCCAGTGCTATCTCCAAATGGCCAGTGACCTCAACAGATTCCCACCCCTCACAGGAGTCGTGGTCTCCCCTTGTGAACCAGGGAGGAGGAAGTTGGTGGATAACCTTTAGAGCCGTTTCTGGGTCTGGCTTTGTGAGGGCAGCTTTTTGTACTCCAGCCTGACTCCCGTGACCCCACCACCAAGTGCTGAGGCCTGTAGAGAGTCCTCGGGCAGGGATAGACAGCCTGGACTCCCCAGGCCACCCTGGGCCACCTCCGATCTCTAGGACCTCAGAGGATGGCTCAGTTTCTTCTGTTTCCCATGGGATGGATGACCCCTTGGGTGTGTGGTGACCTCCCTGGGTGTTCTGAGGCACCAGGAAGTGGAAGTCATAAGCATTGTCATTAACTTCCCCGTTCTCACCCATGCTGGCCAGTCTGCCCTGACGAGACAGAAGTGAGTCTGGCCCTACTTCTCTCCTGGGCTCAGTTGGCTTCACTCGCGCCTAGGTCTACATGTGAACACAAATGCCACCTGCCAGCTTCTCTAGGCTTACATCTCAACAGCCCTGGCAAGAACCAGCTTAAGGAATCTTTCTTACTCTCCTAAGTCTTTCCAGGAATTGCTGGGAATAGGAGAATGACCGAGGTCCTCGGAACATCTCGCAGGTAAGGGAGCAGGGCTCCCCGGGTGTGTGGGCGTTCCCAGTGCCTCAGCTGGCCTGCCCTGGCCCAGTGCCTCTGAGGAAGCTCCGAGCAGCTGGCCTGGCTGCTGGGTATTTTTAGCTACAGATCCAGCCCCTACACCACCACTGGAGCCAGGTCCAAATCAAACACGCTCCAGGCTGGGTGGGGCTGGGGCTCTGCCAGCCTCTTGCCCAGGCAGGGGTGGGTGGGCAGGCTGGGGCTAGTGTCAGCTGTCCTTCCTGGATCTGGGCCGGGCTGGGGAGACCCACTTTTCCTCTTCCTCTCTCTCTGTTTTGTGTAAGTCATTTTTTCTGTCATAAGTTGACATTCATTTCTTGGACAGAAAATGTGGAAACTGAGGTCTGGGGATTTTGAGGAAAGTCGAGTGCCCTCCCACCATGGGGTAGAGTGGTTAACACAGTTTGCTCAGTGGAGTGACCCTCCTAAGTGAATTCTCCCCAGGCCCCTCTCAGATGAAGCAGTCTTACTCTCCCAGCCCCTCCCTGAGCTTCAGGGTCCCTGATGCGAGGTCAGGCCTGAGGCAGCCAGAAGGGAGAGGCCTGTGCCTGGCTTAAAGGTAAGTAGTCCTCCCCTCCTCAAAGCCCTCTTCCATTCTCCTCCATGAGTGATGGCTTCCTCCTCTGGTCCTCACTTCTGATATGCCCCTGGACCTGGCTGCCTCCTCTCCTCCCAACCTCAGGCTGCCACTGTGCAGAGATGGCACAGGCCTGTCTCAGCCTCACCAGCCAGTCAAAGCTCCTTCCTGATCACCAGAGAGAGCTTTGACTGGGCTCCTCTCCTGTTCAGAGCCTCTGTCCAGCACCCCTCTTGAGCCAGGCAGCCAGGCCTCCATGATCTAACTAACCCTGGTTTACCTTGACAACTATGTCTGGCCTTGCTCCTTACTCCCCAGCTACTGATGAGGTTTTCCAGCCACCATGCATATGCCCGGCTGGGTACCCATCCTTCTTCCACTAGCCCTTCCTGTGAGCACTGCAAAGCTTAGTCTGTGTGCTGCCCAGCTCACAACCTTCCCTGAGCCCCACAGGGGCTCTGGTGTCTAAATTGTTCACATCTCCCGGACTCCTGTAGACTGCTTCCCCCAAGACTGAGTTCCTCAAAGGCAGGAACACAATTGCCTCTCAATAAACTTGTGCTGCAAAAATGGAATGAATGAATTGCTGTAAGTCTGTCTAGGGGTGCTTGAGCCAGCAGCTGCCCTCTGGCCTGGTGACAGGATAGGGCTTTCCACTTAACATCCTGGAGTCAGGCCTTGTCTCTTTCCAGACCTGGGCTCTTTGGGGGCTTCCCGGGCAGTCGCTGCTGCCATCTTGTGGTCAAATCATGTGTTACAGCCACAGAAAACCTCGACCTGGCATTTATGGAATTGCCAGGTTGGCAGTTTCCTCTCCGAAGTAAAGTTTACCTGAGTCTTGCTGAGAACTTGAGAATAGGGAATCTTCTGGGTCGGGTGGGGGCTAGAGGAT